GGGAGTTCTCCGCCCTCCCCCCGGTGCTCTGGCCGCCGGGGAGAGTGGAGAGCACCGGCCGGGCTCTCCGCCCTGCTCCAAGCGCTCCGGCTGGTCGGGGATTGCGGGACTGCAGCCAGGCTCGGCGCCCTCCCCTGCCGTGCTGCGGGGGGCCAGGCGGTGGGTGGCTTTTTTGCCTAGGGCGGCAAAGTTTCAAGGATATAAACTCTTGTGCTTCAGGGTATCATCCAATAATGTAGGTTAGAGCTAATTGATGGGGGATAGTGACCCTGTACCTCTGTTCTCCTGGGTTACTTGAACTCCCAGTAAAGCCTCTGGTACTGACCGCTGATAGAGAGAGGTCTGATCATCTATAGAAATGTCTCTGTTCTTCCGTTCCAAAGAGGAGTCCATAGGTATGGTGTGATATTGAAGAGTAGAGCTGTATTGCCCTTAAATAAAACCTGTGCACAGATGGATATATCTCCCCTCACCAGCTAAATATTGTGAAATGTTCTTGGTCTGCATAATTTTTCCTTTTGTGTTATCCAATCATAAATTTGATTATTGGAAGATATTCATCTTCTGGGACCTGAAGGGCACAAAAATGTTGATGACATGTGTAGATGAATATATGATGGAGTTGTGTTGGTCTACACGAGCTCACATTCAATCCCTTAACTTTAAAATATATAAACAATAGAAAACAAAGCTACATTCAAAAAAATCAAAGAGCCTCCATTTGAGGGGGAGGGAGCTCAGAATGATGAACTGAGTACTGGAATGACATCTGACACATTGACATGCATTTTTAAAATGAATATTGGACCATCTAATTGCAGTCAAAAAGTTATTACTACTATAATAATACAGTACGTCTCTTTGGCCGTATAAAACGTTTGTGAAGTGCTTTCAAATGATAATTATACTTGTTTTACACAGAGGTGAATGGAGGTATGTTAAGGTCAAGGTCAGACAGGGAGAGATTGGCAGAGTCAGAAATATCCCCCAATAATCAGGACTACTCATGCCAAATAGTAACCTCAATCTCTTGAACCCTCCTGGACACTTACCAATCATGGCTTCCAAATCTGTCAATAAGCCTGAAAGTAACTCCTAAAGAGGCTCATTCTATTTTTTTTTTAATTTTCATTTGATAATTGTTTACAATTGGTGCCACAAGTGGAGGTCCAATTTTAGGTTAATTTTGAATCCCTGTAAGGAGAAATTCTCCCCTGGGCAGAGGACCATCACAAAGGCCCATGCCCCACTACAGTCCCTGCTGAGTCCTAGT